ATAGGTGGATGAGTAAGATCGTGTCCAGTTTTATTACACATGTGCATGTGCATATGTATGTAGCTCCATATCTAGCTGTGTTTTTGACGCGTTCTACGGTGTTTTCATTTGTCACTGGCTACTCACAACAAACACTCAACAGCTTGTTCTCTGTGTGTTGATCCGCATTTAAAGAATCCGCAATGTCTTGCCTACGAGTGCATTCGTATTTATGTGCGATAAACAAACTGTATAAATTGCGCACAGTCACAGTCCTCAAATTGGTATAAATCATCTCCTGTGACTACTATGCTCACCAATACGCTAAGGAGGACACCCTGCAGGGAAATGAGTATTAGTTAGACAAGCTTGTAGCAGCTTTCCGAAATTCGAATAAGTTCACAGTGGCTTAAAATATAATCAATTTCATATAAGCATTGCAGCGCTTGTAAATATAAAGAGTGTAAAAACAATATAAACATAATTGTGGGGTAAACAAGTGTAGACCGTTGGATAAACTCAGGGCTAGTATTAGGTGTGGTAAGAACTTTGGAACCAATATTTCGTACTATGTCGGATCGATGGACAAACTCAAACCCTGCAACTCTAGAACCGCAATAAATAAAACCGCACTAATAAAATTCCCTACCGGGCATATAAATATGTACAACACAACATACGAGTATGTATGTACGTGTATGGACTGTAAGCGCTATTTTCGCGACGATTATTTTGTAATTAGCCATGCTCATCGGATTAAATGGAAGCCGATGTAGCCCTCACATATCACGGCTCTGACACGGTCAATTGTACGCTTTATTGTTAACTTGTACGCAGTGTTGTTTTCAATTATGTCTGCCAATGTCGCTTTCCAACAACCATCTAACCTGCAAGAGCTGTGTTTAGGTAAAGATTCTCGGAAAATTTGCCATTTTATGTAGCGCTCCTGATGCCGCCATACACTGCTGTGTTGCAAACGGAAGGCGCCTAGCCATTTACCGTATTCAGTGCACTGCGACAAGATGTACGATGAACGACTGCATTGTGACGCGTTCACGAGGTGCATTCCCATCATATTTATGGCTATTGCAACCATTAAATCGAAGACACTTTGTTTGGGTATTGAGCTGCTGTGCACTGTACAGCTACTACATGTTTGTACATTAATACGTGTTTGATTACGTAGAAAATAAGCCTTGTTTGTCATTGCTGATCGGAATTAAGAAACTCTTATGAGTACTGGTGGATAACGAAGTCCTTTCTACATATATATAATAAATTGACGTACAATTTCTCAAATTGTTCTTGCTATACGCGTAGCGTGATTGCTCTACACAATCATTTGAATATCTAAATGTATATATGCAACTATCAAACACGTGACAATTCACAAATAGATAATTATTTTCTGATAAAATCCAGATTTCTTTATAGTTGTTAAAAATGCTGTAAAAATACTCAATTAGCTTAGCTATTATGAAAATTATTATTAATGTGGTTAAACCGGGTAATTTGTGCGTCACTTCTTGCTAATGACCAGCACTGAACTCCACACAAGATTTTGTGAAAAGGTTGACCTATAAACTAACATCACGTATCTGTGGCTATGTGTGCACATTATAATGAAAATGTAGGGCAAGTACATTCGCTGTTGTATCGGCACAGCATCCACATGTCGTTGGCCTCATGCAACTTTAATAATATGTCATTTATGTAAAGGTCAATTGGCGTGTTCATGCTAGAAATCAATACATACATATGTGGTAAGAATCTAACCACATCATTTAGCATCAAAATAAGTTAAAAGAGGATCACAAGTTAATAGTTTTACGCTTTGATTAGAATTTATGTTGGTATAATTTATAAAATACTCAGCGAATGGATCAATTTATTCAAGAACACGACGCCCTTTGACTTCTATGGTTTAGTCAAGAATGACTCTAATTCATTTTTAATTCAATATGTACATACATACATATATACATGCATATTCATATTCATATGATATAGTTGTCTTATTCATATTATCTACATTTCGAAGAAAGCTCTTCTAGAAAATATTTTTACTTTATAATTTCAAAATTTTTAAATTCATTAGTTTTAGACTAGTGCAGAAAGAAATATGTACATTAATATCTAAACAGCTTAAAAGGATTCAAAGTTGCAGTTTTAGGTAGATAAAGTACCTATTATTTCGTTGTAGCAGGTGTAAAAATCACAGTTTTAACCCTTATGTTAGTAACCGGGTACCCGGGTACCCAACGCGGTGAATAACTGAAAAAATTCAATATTTCATTTTAAGCTCTTAAATCGTCGTTTTTTGACTTAAAAGAAAGCTATTTGTGAGTTAATTTTTTTTTTTATTTTTTATTTTTTATTTGTATTCTACGTTGTTATTTTTTTTTTCTTTAAATTGTCACTGACTTAATATTTGAAAAAAAATTTTTTTTTGTAAAAAATATTAAATTTTTTTTTAATAAAATAAACAAAATAATAACAATACTCAAATCGGTTGCTAAAAGACGTCGGTAAAGTTGGTTGCTAACATAAGGGTTAAATCGCTTAGTGAAGTATTTTTTTGCAGTTTCTGAGAAAATTTACCATAGTATTTATTTTTCATACCATCAGAAAGATAAATATTATATATATTTCAACGAACATAAAGCCTGCTGACTTTTCAAAAAAACCTTATTGTTTGAGTATTTTTGCTTGAAAATTATGGTTTTTATTTTAACATTCGCTCAAAATATATAGGGAGAGAAAAAAAGAAAATTCTTTGTACAAAATAAAAATAAAAAAAACCCAAAACTGCGTTTTTTGAATTTTTCACATAAATTGTAAGGTTATGTGAAGTTTTGCCGGAAAAAATTAAAAATTCAAATGCCACCCTTCCTCCTCCCGAACTCAGATCGTCTGTTAATTAAATTTCCATTAATATTTGTTGTTTTATCTTTCGTTTCCATCCGGCTATTATTATTTTTGTTTTCAAAAATTAACTACCCTGGTCTATTTTAATATATTCTGTTTAAGAAATTAATTTTGATAGATTTATATTGTTTCGACAACGTTCAAAAACTGGACAGAGAAATTTCAATTTCATACCATCGAGGTAAATTCCGAAAAGAAACAAGCTCGTCAAAAGATGTTCTCACGCTATAAATTAATAGTCTGAGCCATGAAAAATATTTCTTGGTAAAAACGCCGTTTAAATAAGTGATCAGCGCCTATACGGTTAAAAGTAAAGATCTAGAAGCAGTATATAGAATACCACGTCAGATTCTAAAGACACAAAAGATCACAAATCGTTGTGCAAACTTCAATTTCTATATCTACATCTATGCATATACATATGGTATGTAAATGTATATGGTTTGTTTGTATTAACTAACATTCAACATAACTAAAGCAACTAAATAATTATGATTTATTATTCAACAAACTACGTAGAAACCTTCATTTTATTAATTTCAGATTTAATTAAATTTTATAGGAATTGGAAGAAATCGCGGCTTAAATAGTGTATATATGTATGTATGTTTATAGAACGTAGGGTGTTTTGATTACATGACTCACTCACCCTCTGAAATTGATAGGTGTGCATGAGCGTCAATTAATGCGAATTTCCACTGAAATAGGCATTATTCATTAGCAAACAATGAATTTAATTGATAAACATTTGGATGCCGGTTTTTGAGTGACGAAAAATAGTAAGCCACATGCTTTCAAGTGTTTTTAAATTTACAGTGGTCTCAAGTAGGTATAACGTAAACTTCAAAAGACTATGAAATAATTTTCAATATTTATGAATTCAACATAAATTCTATAATTTATTAATGAAAGAAAATCCGTTTAAATTGTTTAATAACAAATTAAAGTAAATATTATTATTTCTTAGTTATTTATATATCAAACTTGAATTGTAAACAATTATATTCAACTTCTTGCTATTTTCAGAGATCAAGCAGTTCCAGGTGCCGCTCTTTTATCCACTTTGTAGTTTTCTGTTATAAAGGAAATCATGCATTCACGTTTGTACATGTGCCTAATTTCTATAGTTTAGACAACAAATCTCGCGTATACACAGCTAACCACACACACGTGTCAAATATGCACAAGTGCAAATGTATATGTAAACAAGTATCTGGAAATCTGTTCAACCTTCTGTGGGGCAACATCTTCACAACGCTAAGCAATACAAATTTGTTTTGCTATTATACAAGCACCCGGAGCAGTATAAATATATATATAGATGACATTTTAATAATACATAAGCATAAGAATCATAATTTCTTGGGGAAGCTCCCGATACCAATAAATTAATAAGCATCAGGAAGTAGGCAAATGGCAACAATTACTCCCTATTTTTATGCACAATTTTCTTTATTGTTTTGATGAATGTGCGTGCAGTAAAAATTTCATATCAAAATTATACTCACTTGTTTAATAGATCGCTGTTGCTTTCGTTATTTAATAGCTTTTAATAAGAAATCGCACTGCAATTTCAATAATTTCACAAATTTCTATTGTTTATCAGGAAATGCAACGACAAATGACACGAATGCGACACGACAAACGAAAATGACGGACGACGGTCAACGAACACGACCCCAAAGAACACCACTAAACAGATATCATATATGTAGGTAAAGTATGTATGTACTTCACTACACGTCAGTCACTTTTACTAATTCCAGTCACTCATTTTCGTAAAAATCTAATTTTTGCTACAAAAACAAAGCACTTTTCACCGTTTTCACTTTTATCAATGAAAAACTGATATCTAAATGACAATAATTTCACTGTACAACGGTCACCGACGGTACAAATTTATTTTTACATTGCTGTTGAAGATTACACTTTGCATAATTTATGTTTTAAGTAATGTGTGAGAAAGAGATAATTGACTGCTTAAAATCTGACAGTCAAAATGACGGCTACAGCGACGCGTCGGCTATTCAGCAACCCAGCAAAATTACAGGGAGCTTTAAATGAACATAAAAAAGAGCCGGTAAGGCAGTTTTACTTGTATTAAATAAAATTACAAGCAAAAACTGGCAGATATATATTTTATTCACTTATTTTATTACATCATTTATTTTCAAACCTATTTATTTAATTTTAAATCATTCCAATTATCCTTACTTTACTGTTGCCAACATGTAAACTTTGCATAAATGTACATATAGCAAAGAATGTAGATTATATACATATATATATATTTTACATTCTCTGTGGCTAGTATGCATACAGATGTGCAAATGTCATTGCAAACAGCTGTATAAACAAAAGTACATAACTACCCAACAAATAATGGAATACCGAAATAATGATCCTGGAGCTGTACAATATGGAAACTTCATAAACTACTATGATTTCAATAACGCAGGACAACGTTTAAAACTACTACCACGCGATGTGTGGATTGACACTGAGAATCCCCATTCTGGTGAGCCCTACTTGGTACTCGATATTGGCTGCAATGCTGGAAACCTGACTCAACTGTTGTTTACATTTTTAAATGAATGCGTTGGTGCAACGCATGGTCGTAATATACAAATACTAGGTGTTGACATCGATTCAGATTTAGTAAAGCGAGCTAAAACAGGAAATGAATTTCCGTCAAATGTGAGTTATGATCATCTGGATGTTATGGATTCAAATGGGTCTTATCAAATTAAAGAATATTTACACAAATGGAATCGTAAAACTTTTGACGTGGTTTGTAGTTTTTCTGTAACCATGTGGATTCATTTGAACCATGGCGACGACGGTTTAAAACTATTTCTAGAGAAGCTTTGTGACTTGGCTGAATTGCTTGTTGTTGAACCACAACCATGGAAATGTTATCAAACAGCATTACGACGAATGAAAAGAGCTGGCGATGAATTTCCCCTTTATAAAGCTCTGCAATGGCGTACAAATGTAGAAGAATGCATACAAGTTTTCTTAGAAAGTAGTTTGGGAAGAAAAAAAGTGTTTGAATGTTTACCCACTCGATGGCAGAGGCGTATTTGCTTTTATCGGTGACATGGTTGTTTCAAAATGAGTTCCAATCATCTTTGAAATATATAATTTATATACATTTACTTTTTTTTAAAAAATAAATTAGAATTACATTGACAATCATAATTGTAAAAACTAAGCTCTCCATAGATTTTGTATTAATATATATATATATATATATGTATGCAGTATATACTTAGTGATAAATTTATTGTTATAAGGTTATAATAAACAGTTAATTTGAGCGATCCCATCGCCAAATGGTGCCATCATCACAAACACATATCAAAATGGCTCCATCTTTGGAGAACGATGCCTGCCTGATTGCACTTGTACATTTGGGATGTACCAATGTGCTACATTTCGTTAAATTCGGGTCTGAGTTATCTAACTCCCAAACATAAGTTTTGCCCTGCTGATTACCCAGAGCCAAAACTTTTTGCCAAAAATTGAAAGCAAAACGAACAAACCATATTTCACATTCCTTATAGTCAAAATGATGTATAATTGTTGTTGTAGAATCCTGAGCTTTAACATCAGTATGTTCAAGTTTGCCAGGCTTCCAACATACAATTGAATTCTCGCATGACTTGGATAGAACAAAGTCTCCAAACCACTGCACACAGTCTACATAATTCCGATGAATGTCTCGTGTAGAAAAATCGGGGAAATGTTCTTTAATTGTTGGAAAAGGTGTTGCGTTTTTACTGATATTAAATGTGCAACTATTTTCAATAGCATCCCTAATCGAAGGCTTATCAAGGCGCCACAATTTCAATGAGTGATCCATACCACTAGACATAATCCGATCGCCGCGTAAATCAAAATCAACAGAAAGCACTTCATCGCGGTGCCCTTCAACACCTCCAAATATAGCCACACATACATCTGTTTGAATGTTCCATAGTCGAAGCGAGTGATCCTTACTGCCCGATAGTAGAAACTGAGGCAATTTGGGATGAAATTTTAACTCGTTTATTGCATGACCGTGACCAATGTAATGCTTAGTGCATACATGTTTCGATGGATTAAATATGCGTATAACTCCTCGATACCCAGCGGCAGCAAGTATTGGATCGCCGTTCTCAGGATCGTAGGACCAGGCGCATGTATAAAAATTCTCGTCGGGCTGCAGAAACATAAATTGTGGAATAAGCTTTCTTAATAATAAACATATGCACCTACGTCAGGATCCGCATAGCACTGGAGCAACTTTATTCCAATTGCATTGTTGTCACCTTGCTCGTTTTCCCGTGGGCACTCATAAATTGATATACGATCTTTTCCCACTGATGCGAAAATTGCCTGCTCCTTAATAAGATGCTGATTAAACTGTGCACCGAATAAGGGTTGTCCGTGATCCTCACGCAGATGGCAACTAAAACGAAAACAAGAAGTTAGGCTCTTTAAACTAGGTAATAGTTTTTCTATACATACGTACATATATTTGTAAAGTGGTTTTACTATCTTTTTTGACTTTTTTCGTGTTTTTGAATTCTTCCTGTTATTGGGCGATTTACTACGCGATGTAGTAGTCGTCGCCGTGCTTATTACACTTTCTGTTTCATCTTTATCTTCATCAGATTCTTCGCTTTCTCCTAAAGAATTTACTGTAATATTTGAAGGGACTTCTAAATCGATTATGGGAGGCGACTCCGTCGCCTGTGGAGGCGGTGGTTCTACGCTATTACCATCACTAGATTCTTTGACTTCGGAATTCTCCTTTATGTCATCAGAGGCCATTTTAAAATGCAGATATTTTTTCAGCTATAGAGCATTAACTATTTACTTGATACTAAAATTGGCGTCGAAAAATACAAAAAAAAAACAAGAATCTTCGTGGTACAATGACAGCTGAAAGCCGGTTTTTGGGTAAGAGGCGTACGGTGATATGGGTGGGATAAAGCGTTGCCACTCAAGGATGTTAAATACATCTAGAGTATGAGGAACAGAAATATGGATATTTACGTTTTTTGTTTATATTTTCTAATATTTTACATATAATATATTACATTTATTGCATGGGTAAAAAATTTAAGGTGCTCTAATTTGAATCTTTTCCTGCAATTTTTTCTGTCTCCACATCTATATAATTTTCAATTTCTTTGAGCGCTTTCGCGCAATGCTCAGTTCGTGCTAGCAATTCATTAGTAAAGTAATTTCTCAGAATATTGGATTTCTCTTGCGTTAGTCGCCCTTGGGCATATAAGAGCTCTAATTCATGTGCAAGGTATGGACCCATTTTCAAATCTGCAGCAGCTTTGAGGTAAGCACATTTGCGATTACGAGCCTCTGCAAGTTTCTGCAAATTAGAACGATGTTGGGACTCCAAGGAAATTATTTGATTAAATCCAGAGGGCTTTTTAGAAGCACATTGTCCGACTGGTGGTGGCGTACCAAGTTCTACAAATACATCTGGAACCTCTGCCTTTAACTTTTTACCAAAATCAATGACTGGTTGTAAATTTAAACGTAATAATGATACAATTTCTTCGCGTATCGCTTTCCGCTCAGTATAAGTCAAATTTATAGCATCTCGAAGAGTTTTCAAGCCTATTTAGGGATTATATACGTTAGAAAAAATTATGTTATTTTGTCATTTTTTTACCTAGAAGATAATCGTCTGCTCCTCCAACATTCATATGCAAATAGTCATTGACATCAAGTACTTTTATAGCATAATCCACTTGTTCACCACTATCGGGTAAATCCAATTTATTTATTCTTAATTTTTGCAAGTTATCAAGGATCAAACGTAATTTCCTGATCTTGCACAATTCATTGTCACGTTTAGTTTCCATCTGCCTGCGCGCCTCAGCATTAAGGATGCTTAATGTTTCATTTGCATCGGTCATGTTTACTGGTTTCTAATCTAAATTATTTATTTATAAAATATGTTAGTAATAACACTTAGGTAGATTAATTTCTTTACGATCGTGACTAGTTTGTTTGAATTTCCCGTTGTTACCGCTTGTAGATAAAGCAGTTTCGTTATTCAGCGTTTGACAGTCCGGGCAGTGAACGTATATTCCCTGCTTCGAGAGTTGTTGACAGCCAACTGTTCATTGTGAATTCTGAAAATGGGCAAATCAAAGGTATGTATAATGAGTTTTCATAAGTTAAAATAAAAATAATAAAATATCTACATATATTTCTACAGAAACAAGAAGAAACTGCCCACAAATCGCATAAAAAATCTAAAAAGCATTCAAAGTCATCGAACGAATCGGATAAGGAATCGGAAGATCATTCCAAAAAAGTGAGCACTTTAAAACGTAAACAAACAGAAGTAGCACGTGTACTACAACTTAAATGCGCTATACTACTCCAAGGAACTTTATCATATTTGGAATACACAGAATTAAGAGAAGAGTTATGTCGTCTAAGTGCACTAAAAGAAGCATTTGCTCAACAAGCCGCTAGCTTAGAAAAACACTAAAATGACATATAATGTAATTCTTAATACTAAGACCCTTTTTATGTAGTAAACCTAATGTTGACGTTATCAGAATTGCTTAAATTGATTATTTTAAATTAAGTCTTTAATTCAGAATGTATGTATTATTAAAAAACCATATAAAATAAATATCAGGTGTTTATTTTATTCGATATTCACAATAATATTATCGGCGAATATACTGCTTTGACATTTTGTTGAAAATTCTCCTAAACGTCAAACCCACATTCATAAACGTTTGCTGATTTCTGGGAAATATTTTCGGGTGTTTTCCGTGAATCAATTTTAGATTTTGTGATTATTTGGCAAATAAATAAAAATGGGATCTTCTTCAAGTGGAAAAAAACATAAAAAAGACAAAAAATACAAACATCGTAGCATTGAAGGAATTGATGAAGGGGAAAGTTCATCCTCGCATCGTCATCACAAACACAAACGCCATAAGGAACACAAGGATCGGCATCGCCATAAGAAGCATCGTGATCGTGACCACGATCGTGAAAAAGAGCGTCGGCATCAAACAGAAGTTATTGCTTTAGAAGAGTCGGATTCAGATGACAGTAAGTGCACTGTAGTGCGCTGGTATATTGTACACAGTATTTTAGTGTGTAACTCAGTGTAAGCGGCGTCAATTTGGCCAAAGTCGCTTTTTTTTGGAATAGCATAAAAACATTAATGCAAAAAGCGATTTAATTCAAGTTGTAAAGTAATGTAAATTAAATTTTTATACTATTCCAAGAGTTACACAACCATTTACGTGTTTATGATAAATCATCGCGTTTTTCTCTTCTTTTTACTATTTTTCAGATTTGCGGCAGATATTGAATATGTATGAAAAATTTCGCCACTATTCGAAAGCGGTTTTGAAATTGACATCTTCGTACAAAGCGATAATCAAGTTAAAATTTTTTTTGATATAATAGCGTGTTTTTTCATTTTTAGGTTCCGATTGCGTTGAGGTACCTCTTGATGATATCCCATTAAGATCTTATGGACAAGATAGTGATATTGAATGTGAAGCACCACCGCCTCCACAGCTGTCAAAGCATATTATAGAACGTGAAAAAGATCATGACCGCCAAAAGGATAGGGAAAAGGATAAAGATTGGGTTCGTGAACGTGAGCGAGAAAAGGAAAGGGACCGGTATGAAAGGGAACGAGAGTTGGAGCGCCGTAAAGAAAAGGATATGGAACGAGATCGAATTGAAAGAGAACGAGAACGAGATCGAGAAAAGGATCGTGCTCGAGATAGAGACCGAGACCGAGAATTACGAGAAAAAGAGCGTGACAGGATGGAACGCGATCGCGATCGCGAGCGAGTTCGAGAACGAGAACAACGTTTCGAACATGACAGAAGTAATCGAGATCGTGATCGCGAACGAGAACGAGAACGTGAGAAAGTAATTGAAAAATCAAAAGATCGACAGTCTCGTGAGACCCGTTCCCCTTCACCTATTCCTGAAAATGGCGCAGGCGATAGTCTTTCCATCGAAGAAACAAATAAACTACGCGCTAAGTTAGGGCTGAAACCTCTCGAAGTAGATAGTGGTCCTTCAAGGCCAGCTACTTCATCCGCAGCTGCTGTCGAAGCTAAAAAAGTGCAGCCAGGAGAAAAAGAACTGTCCTCTTATAAAGACGAATGGGGGGAATTTTTGCATAAACCTGCGTCGAATTTAAAAGAAAAGGCTGAAGCAGAGAAAATGAGAGAGAAACTGAAGCAACGGAAAGAAAAAAGATTCTTGGAGGAGCAATTAGCACGTATTCGTACTTTAGGTGAATCGGATGAAGAAATGGATGATGTCTCTAAATGGGTGTCACGAAATCGTCGGGTTATTGATGAAAAAAGGGAAGCTGAAAAGAGGGTTTGTATTGAAATGCGATAATAAATATTTCATTCTTTTTATAGAATAATTTCATTGCTAGGCGAGAATGATTGAAGAAATGGATGCTGAATTTGGCGTAAACGATTTAGTAGAAAAAGAAAAAGAGGCAGCACGTCGAAAGGCTTACAATGATAAGCATCTCAAAGGTTTACGAGTAGAACACGATATGGATGAGTTTACTGAAGGCAAATCAGTCATACTGACTCTGAAAGACAAAGACGTTTTGGACGAAGATGAAGATGCTCTGATAAATGTGAATTTGGTTGACGAAGAGCGGTATCGTAAAAATGTTGAAAATAAGAAACAAAATCCTCTAAGTTATGGATACAATGTTTACGAAGAACAGTATGACGAGCTGGGTAATCCAATTGAACGTGGAGTATTGGAGAAATACGACGAAGATATTGACGGGAGTAAGAAAAAGAGAGAATTTGTCATTGGCGATAACTTAGAGGAACAACGCGAGCATCGTAGAAAATTGCTAGAGGTAATCTATCTATTCTATTCTATGCTCAAATTCTTTTCATGACGAGTTTTTTTCAAGATAAAAACAAAGCTCGCAGGCAAGCGCTTGGAAACTTTGGAGGATGCCAGAATCGAACTTGCTACTGATACATATTCCGAAGCTGAGTTGACGAAGTAAAAACAAACAATAATATTTCAACAGCGTGTCCAATTAATTTGTCATCTTTTTCGTTACAGATTCAAGAAACCGAAGAAAAAAGTAAAGAAACTAAGAAAAAAGTTGAAAATCGAAGACTTGCTTCCATTAAATGGCGAACCATTGGAGCAGCACCTAGGGAGCCGAAGAGATCGGAATCGGGGAGCAGAAAGTATGGATATAGATGATACAAAAGACACTGCTTCACAAGTTAAGATGGAAGAAGCTGACGATGATCTTGAACGTATTCTTTCCAAAGCACGAAAGTTAAAACAGAAAGAGAATATAATTAAGAAATCATTACCCATTGATATAAACAGTATCAAAGATGAGATCAAAACAGAACCCGTTGATGGTGCTGACGGCGAGGGTGGCATCCGCGGTGCAGACGGCAACATTGTACTCAACGCTACTGCTGAATTCTGTCGTACCCTTGGTGATATACCCACCTATGGCATGGCTGGCAATCGAGACGAAGATTCCAATGATATGATGGACTTCGAAACGAATGACGGCAACGAAGATCGGTTTAACGATCGACACAATGAACCGGAACTTAGTCATGGCACCTGGAATTCGGTTAATCCAGATGAAGTCGTACAGCCAGCCGAATTTGAAGATATTGGCGATAATTTGGAGGAGGTTGCCATTTTAGATGAGGAGCCAGATGTTAGTGCTGGTGTGGCAAACGCTTTACGTTTGGCCCTATCAAAGGGCTATTTAGAAAAGGAGGAGCACAATAGGCCAAGCAACTCAAAGATGGCACATCTGCAAGCAAAGAATTATTCAATTGAAGACAAGTCGGCTGTGTAAGTAAACTAGACTTCCACCATACAATTCAATTTACTTAAATAAATATATATACTTTATGTAAATTTCAGGGAAGATGATAAGTTTGGACGACGTGATCGCTTCCATGCCGGTCCTATTATGGAATTCAAAGATAAAGACACTTTCAAACCAAATGTAAAGTTGGAATATATTGATGATAATGGCCGTATTCTCAACTCAAAGGAAGCTTTTCGATATTTGTCACATAAATTCCATGGCAAGGGGCCGGGAAAAAACAAAATTGAAAAACGTTTGAAAAAAATGGAACAAGAAGGCGTAAGTAACACTTACAAATATATCAATATGAAAATTAAATATTATATTACATAACTTATTCATATTTAAAGTTGATGAAGACAATGAGCTCCACAGACACTCCTTTGGGCACACTTACTATGCTGCAGCAGAAGCAAAAGGAAACGAAGACACCGTTTGTGGTACTTAGCGGTGGCAAGCAAACAGCTGCTGTTACTGGCGCCACAATATCCAAATATAAATAAGATACTTTCTATGTAAAAGTTTTTATTTAAGAAATTTGCGGATTGAACTCTGCGTATCGTTAAGTATTGTAGCCCTATGATAACCTAAATTTTCACAATATAATTAATCAGTCGTAACCAGTCTGCATTCCCATACAATACCAAAACGAAAATTGCAATAGCCCAAACGGACAATTATAAAGTGATTACCAAGCGTTCAGTAGCCACAGTTCACAACATTTATTAAATAGTCGTTCAAGATAAACTAGTATTGTAGAATAACCTATATTTTCTAAGTGTCTACAATAAAGCTGAGTTGTATGAAACCAGACACAATACGGTAAGAGCATTTGTTATTTAAATCGTGCGGAGAGATACCGTATTTCCAGTCAGGTCGACTGAAATGAAAAAACAAAATTTCTCTTATTTTTTTTTTGTTCTGAAAATGATGTCTACCACTTACTTGAGAAACGCTCATCTATTGCATACTTTTTGGAGTCGACAAATAACTCAATGTTCAAGTTGCCCTTTTCCACACAGCTTAATGTTGTCGTTCCGTTTGTACGAATTTTCAAGGCAAATCTTGATTGCGCAAATTTAATACCTAAATAAAGAGAATTATTGCTCACAAACTACGGCTTGCAGTTGAAATATCCCAAATTTACCATTGATCGTGAAACCTTTGCTTGTGGGCAGGCAGTAAGTTTTTTGGATTACCATTATAGACTGATTTCCATTCAAATGCATACGTACACCACCATAGCCATTGATAATTGTTTGCAGAAAACCGCCAATGCCCGTTAGAAAGTTTGCTGATCCCTGAAAGCCAATTTTGTTCTCACTCCAGACCTACAACTGACAAAGTCATAACTACAAATGACAGTCTTCTCGTAGACGATCATACCTTAAACTCCGGCCGTACATAATCCTTGTAGCCTCTTTGGAAATATAAGCTAGCTTTTGCTATATCTTCGACATCTAAAAAATTAATGGCAAACATCGACCATGACATGGCAGGTCCAGACTCACGGGTCACCGCCTCATAGTTGAGAAGATCGTTGTGTCGTGTAACGCTACATACGGTAAAATATTAATTTCTTCACAATTACGCGATTATAATTTAAAATGGCACATGATTCTCACTTGGACATGGCATACTGTATGGGATAGCCCAGTAGAACGACATCTGCCTGCTTCACAGTCTCACCGCGCTGGTAGCCCAAGTGCTGTGGGTGGTAATCCAGTTTCTTGTCATATAATATTTGCATGCGCCGTGCGATATCTAACCAAACATGAGGCCGATCTTCGTCGCAAGCACATATGGAACACGCAAAGCTGTTTAAAATGAAATACTAACGTTTATTCATTGTCTGTGCTTCAACTCGAAACTGTACCTTGCGAACTCTAGCGCCTGTTTAACAACCACATTCGTATAGACATTATCGCTGACATTGGAGTGGTCTTCATCTGGGCCCATGACCCCTATTGTACAAGCGGTAATTGATACAAATGTGTAACTGTATTGTTACTTGGTAGTGTTACCTTCTAGGTGATACTTTTGACCATCATCCCTCACACGACTAACCAGGAACTCGGCCACTTCCTTCGCAATTGGCCAGGCGACTCGGCATAACCACTCTTTGGAATGTGTTACTGCATAGTGGTGCTGTAGTGCCAATAGGATATCGGGCGAGATATGAATTTCCTGTGCGGCGATCTCGGTACAACAAGGGTTTATCACTTCTGTACCTGTGTAGGCGCTCTCCCAGGGATACCTATGCATTAATGCATTAGAAAGTAATATTTTCTAAAATATTTAATTTACCGCGCCCCTTGATAGCCAGTTTGCTTCGCGTTATATCGTGCGCCGGGCAGTTGCTCGAATCGGTATTGCAGCAGCTCCGCTGCCCAGCTCGTACTGAACTGTGTGACAGCTGGTAGCATCCAGATTTCTGTATCCCAAAAATTATGTCCTTCATAGTCGGCGTCGAGTTGACCGCGTCCAATGCCAGTTGGGCTGAGTCCAAAGTAAGCGGCATTCGGCTGGCTTGTGTTTAAAGATGGCAGGGAATTGGCCAAATAGAATATGCCAGCGTTAACTATATGCGACTGAAATATGTAGGTATGTACACGTATATTGCCATCATTGCGAAAATGTACAGTTTAGTTTACAGCTATTTTACAAATCGTACCAATTCCAAATTTCCGTCAATCTGTATATTAAAATCACTCCAAAATGTTCGCCACTCCAAAGCATGCTTCTGAAAAAGTAACTCCGGTGTAAGTTTTAAAACTGTAAATAATTACCGTTAACTATTATTATATAGCCACACTCTTAAGAAATGATTTAGATTTGTGTATGTAGGTATATACCTTCAGCCATTTCCCGTCGTGCCATCTCCTCTTTCTCGTCTGCAGTAATCACATAGCGGTAATAAAACTCGGCTTGGCCAGCACTTAGTTCGATGGTATGTTCAGTCTCCCAATCATCACTGAATGCCACGAAAATCTTACGTGGCTCAGTTTGAAATTTTGGCTGTTCTAATAAGCGGGTTACACCTTGCAGCATCTTATAGCTCACTGTACCGTTGGTGCTGTTCAATGGTGCGAAGTCAAAAGCTTCGCTTTCACTACCGGGCTTTCGGATCAACTTGATTAGCAATGGATCTAAATGAAGAACATGCATTACAGTAAATATATATCATATCTATGTATATATATAATATATCAAAAGCGGAAGTGCATTGCGTGCCAGTTGATTAGCAGACGTCATCGTTTTTTACCTATAGCGCCGGAGCAGTGCACGAAAAGTTCATAGATCAATGCACGATTGTAGTAGCGGTGTGGGTATGTGCGTTGTTCTAATTTCAGCTGCAAGCCATTCGCCTCATAGGCAAATTGCCAGCGGAAGTACCCATCTTGCAGTTGCAGCTCAAACATATCCGGTATGATGGCGAGCTCCCACTCCTCGTATTGAATTGTGGCCACACTTAAGTTAAGCCAATTGGGAATACGCGCACGGCGACTATTGCCTGCCACGCCGTTGTAGACACCATTCATGAAGATGGCATCGCCAAATACAGTATAGCCCATATGTCCATTACCCAGCGTGGGCATAAAGTTAAGATCTGTTGGTAGTCTGGCGATATTGAGAACGGAAAACTCATGGCAAATCCACTTCTTCGTGTAAATCAATAAATTTATGTACTCACTGCTCTGATTTGATTAAATATTCACTGATTTCGGCTGAAGACAACAAACAAACGCTTGTCAAAATCACCAAACAGATTTCAGCATACATTGGTGGCATTTCACTTTTGTTGCGTTGTTATTATTCCGTTGAGCTGCACTGGTTGACTGAGTGTTTTACGCTCATCATGCGACTTCTTAATCAATAATAAATTGCTTTTGTCGCATTGATACTTGTACAATATTAGCATATATAAATATTTACAGACTTGTATGATTAGTTGAACTGATAAAGCTTGCCTCTTTCTGTTATGAGAAGTGTGTAAATCAATAAAGTAAGTACAAGTTCCAATATAAAAAAAGCCTTATAAAAACAAATCTTTATACTCAGTACAAAATGTTGTAAAATATTACGAGGGCCGGATAAGTACGAAGCCTCACCACACAGAGTCGCCACTGCCGTAAGAGAAATTTACTACGTAGTATAACTATTCTCATAGACGTCTACTGTCAAAACTTCAGCCTATTCGGACTCATAGTTTTGTTTTGAACGGCTTTGTTAAATAATTTGGAGCTCCACTGGGTCAATAATATTGAGTTAAAAGCGGACTATTTTGGGCAATAAATCGGCATTTTTAAAGTTTCGTTTTTCTTTTTTTAAACTATATACTTATCGTCCTCGCCCTCGCACGTATAGCATGTGTACAGGTTGGTTAAAAAGTTTCTGCGACCGAAATGAAAAAATTTTTGGTTCGAAATTTATTTTTTATTCAATTCGATCTTTATTGTTTTCGATCGAGTTTTTGTTGAATTGTTAACGTGTGCGGCACTAACTTTCCAAACAGCTTTTTCATATGTAATTCTCCATGTAAAATATAAAGTATTCATTCGGCTGAGATGCCTATGGCATTAGCAATTTCACGCTTAGTCAAACTTGGATCTTCACCAACGATTTTATGAATTTTCTCAATGATTTCTGGTGTGGTTGCGGTTTTTGGTAGTCCTTCGTGTGGATCGTCTTCAAGCCTAGTACGACCACGTTCAAATTCACCAGCCCAAAATTCAACGGTGCGTTTTGAAGTTGAGGACAGCTTATACCTACACTTCTAACAACTGTTCATAAATTTCACAAAGAATCCAATTACTGTACGATATTCAATTTTTTCCATATTAAAAAAAATCTGACAAGTCAACTTCAAATGGCTTGTAAACAAAGAATTGATTGACAGAAGGACTTGTAACTTTTTTATATGTTTCACGACGGACGTACCAACTTGAGAAAAAAAAATTGGAGCTAGTAGTGCTATTTCATGTTGTGAGCAAACACTTCATCACCAACTTATATTCACTTTGCAAATATTTAATTTACGTACTTCTAAAGTTCTGCTCGGGGGAAGTAGAACATAACCTAGCGCTCTGTGTCTAAACGACAAATATTGGACAAACATGCATGGTGGAAAGTGCAAAGCCTCTAATGTTTACCAACAATTAAAATAATTCAAATTATTATCAAGCAGTCTCTAAGGAGGCATCGACAAGTCTGAGTTAAAAAAAATATTTATAAACAATTTGATGAAAATATATTGCTGGCTGTTACGAAGATCTTTATTATGCCTTCATTAAGATTGGCTAGCACAGTTCACCACCCAAATAGTAGTATTAACTCTCAAACGAAGCGTAAGCAAAAAACTGTGATACATTTTACATGCCGCACGCACATACATACATACAACTGAGGCTAACTCGCACGTACTCCAGAAATCATTAGCAAGTTTGTAATAACATAAATCCCACCTTGACCGTGCGTTGAGACCCTTCACTTGGCCAGCACTGGTTCCGGTGATGATTCAAGCCGTTCCCCTTGTAAGTAGCGCGCAAATATATATATATATGTATGTATATAAGCACTCATATATACTCCGTTGCCGCTGCTTAGCCCTATTGTGTGACTTATGTGTTGCTGATTGTCGATCAACCGGCCTATCTACACATCTACGAAGAAACCGGGTGCCCGTCAAACAGCCACACACGCATACTCACATGTATACTGGACTTGAAAAGGCGATGCACTAGGCGGTGAGTTGAATTAATTTTAATGATGTTACGCCACAGTAGATTTCCTGCAATCTTACATGCTCAGGTGTTTCCATATGAGAAATTTTCTAATGTCTCCCTACTGAGCTTCTGCACATACACACACATACACATAATTATATTATTACTATTTCTTATACCATATGTATGTATGCATGTATTTATGTATGTGGATTTGTACTGCTACTCTAATGTCTTCCCATAAAATAGTTTCTGATATGAAAAAAGTGTGCGTGTTCGTGAGATATCGTTGACTACCGTCTGTGGCGGTGATTTACCTCTTTATCGGTGTTTTGCTGCATTAATTCTCACTTACAAAATAGAAAAAAATTTGTATTGATTTGCCTTGAAAGTGAAGCGAATTCAGTTACTCGATTGAAAGTATTCGCTACGAACTCGAAAAAACATTTATGTTGGGTTTTCAGAACTTTCTTTTACTGCCACATATCTAAATTTGCGTTATCTTATATTCAAAGTAGTCGCAATCTTTCCATGCTAAAGCTTGGATGGGTTCGGTCCCAACTTACACAGTTTTTTTTAATAGCATTCGTATTTAATCCATTAGCCGTTCAGAGTAGTTCTAAAACCTGTAGAACAAATCGGAAGAGTAACCTCCAAGGGTTAAACTTAAACGTGTTGTCCGCTATATATACACGTAAAGCATCCATAGCTAAGCACAGCTGTTTTGCTCTAACTTCTCGTCGAAAGTCCGGTTCGTACTAATTATTCGTTCGGTCTCTCTTGCAGCAATTAACTTTGATATCGGAGCGGTAATAATTGTAAAAAGCGGAAAAGTTCGCTTGCCTGACGCATTGCAGTACAATGACAGTGCTTTACTCTGCCTTTATGACGCTAAGCACGTCCCCCCCCCTACTTGGCTCTATTCAACACACTCGCCGATGGGTTGTCTTCTTTTTCTATCTTTTTCAGTTATACATTCTGTTTTTTATTTAATTTTTATTTAAGAAGAAATTAACTTATCATGATTGTGCGGCGTGGCGAAGCGTAACTGGCGTATTTACCGAGCCTAAAAGGAAACAAATGAATAATATTTATACGAAAAAAGCATAAATTTCGCAATTGTTTGGGGTTAGACTTTGCTGCTGCTACCACACCATTCTTTTATATTTTGCGCCGATTTTGACATGAAATTGGAATAGTAAATGTTGTACAACCACGAGCTATACAACAATAACAAGCCGCGAACGCGCGGAGCTGTGTTGAAGGCAAAAAATCAGCGAAGCGTTGCCAATGAGTTTCCGTTGAAGCGATTTGCGCATGCAGACCGTTTCGCATTTACCTATAAAGCCGGACTTTTCGATGATCCACTCTTTCAGACAATTTTTCGGCACATTTTTACTTTTCCGTACAACTCTCTAAATATTTTCAATACCTGTTATTTCATAGAAACCTGCCTCCATGCATTTTTAAAACATATTTTGTAATGGTTTGAGGGTGCGAATTAACTCAACCCCGAACACATGGGTTTCTCGTTCTTGTAAATTTAAATACATTATGCATTTAAGCATTTAATATGGTTATACTTATGTTGTTGTACTATAATTTTAATTGCGTGTTTGTGGTTTATTTGTTTGTTTATTTTGTGCAGTTAATTGAGAGAACGAAAAGTGTGTGAACCTTTTTTTGGGCGACTATGATTTCGAAAATTTTCTCATAATTTAATTTGTATATATGTAAGTATCTCTGTGGGCATTGGTGTACCTTTTGTGCATATTTCCCGAGGTAAAAAAACATAGCGATGCATACACATATCTTGTTTATATGTTGTGTGCTTTTGTAATTTACTGCTGAAGCGCAAGTTTTAGTGCTTTTTATGGCCGAATGCTTCTCTCGTTTTATACTAACGGTAACATTTGCTCTTTTTGCAACAATATTGTTCATTAGCTATATCATCATGCACATCACATATGGATGTATGTGTGTAAATATATAGTAGTATACTCGTATATGTAGGTATAAGCTAACTCTACATAAATGTTTATGTGTAGTTGTAAGTTCAAATATAAATATTATGTGTACGTGAGCACTGTATAATTTTGCATATTAATAGAAATCATAGGTTAAAAAATCGATATACCAAGAGAGTGTTCCACTACCTGTACAAACTTTAATTTTTTTTTATAAAAAATATTATATTTCGAAAAGTATTTGCAAAACAGCATATAAATTACAGCAAATTATGCTATTTTATTGAAAAGAACATGACAATATAATAACTGAATTTCCAAAAGTAACTTATTTATATGAAATGAATTGAAACACAGCCCACATACATACATCGGGATTTTCCTACTGCATATCTGTAAAAGTCTGTATTTAAGGGGGTTACATGGGTTCCACGGCTTCAAAACATAAAAAAAAAAATTATTTTTGTCTTGTTTAATTCTTTAACATCTCTAGAATATTATCCTAATTTCTCAAGTTGATCCCAGTAATAGTTTTGGAAGTACAGCTTTAAACGCGTTTTTCTCGAAACTTTGAAGTCGGTTGTCAAGATTTCTCGCGAGCTACTCAACCGATCTTAATGAAACTTTACAGGTCGTTGAGATATAATTTAAAAGGTCTTCAATTACAACTATTTAAAAAACAAAAAATGTCGAGAATTTTTTACCAAAATTTGAATTTTTTTGTAAAAACGTCTGCCAAAAATACAATTTTAATTTTTTTAGTTTTTTCTTCGTCCAATACCTAGTCTCTTTTTACTTTTGCTGATCCTTTTTAGAAGTTCTGCTGTCAACGCGAAAGCACATTTTTTCCGAGAGACTGCCGGAAATGACCGAGTTTTGAATATTTTCCTTTGAACATTTCTCAAAATCTTTATCAAATATGTATCTTCGGAATAATAAAAAATTTGAATAAAATATTTAAATTTTTATATGAAAAACAAAAATTATTGAAAATGGGGCGTTTTTTGCTCGACAAAACCCATGTAACTCTTTAATAAATAGTGTTGGAGTGAGGTACGGAAAAGTTAATAGTCCCAATAAAATATTTTTTGAAATTGAAAAAAATTGAACTGCATACAGTAATTAGATTCTTTTTTTTGAAAGGTTTAAAAGCAAAGGAAATTTATGAACAATTGTTAGAAGTGTATAAGTTGTCCTCAACTTCAAAACGCACCGTTGAATTTGGGGTTGGTGAAGTTAAACGTGGTCGTACTAGACTTGAAGACGACCCACGCGAAGGACTAC